GAGGTTTCGCTCTGAGACCCTTTGGTCCGTTGCCTTGGGAATTCCCAGGTGGAAGAAGGAAGAGGTGGGCATGGGGGAGGGTGGTGGGGAGCGGTCGCCAGCCCTTGTCCCCATGCAGGCAGCCCGTGCTCAGCTGGTCCTTCCCCTGCAGGTTCCGCTCCTTCCTCCTGTACTTGGGCTACGACAGCCGCTCAGCACAGGAGGTGAAAGCGATAGGATTCTGCCGGATGTTGCGCGAGTTCGCCTTGGAGTACCGGACGTGCTGGGAGCGTGTCCTGCAACAGCGGAAGAAGCGGGCAGCCTGCCGGGAGCGCAACAAGACCCGCGGCAGGATGATCACAGAGGTGATGGGTGCCATCCCCTCCCCTCCCAGGCAATCAGGACCGTGCTTGACCGCCTACGGCCGCGTCCCAGGATGGCTTCAGGGGAGTTGGTGCCCCCATGCTGCAGAGGAAGCAAGCTGCCAGGGGCCCTCGAAGCACCTGCTTCCGATTCCCTCTCCTCAGTCGCCCAGGCGGCCCCTGCTTCCCTCTTTCAGAGGAGGAGGAGGAGAAGCAGGGGGAGAGATCTGCCAGCCCAGGAGAGGAAAGCTTTCGCTGGACTCAGGGTCCCTTGGCGTTTCCTCTCCCTCAGCAGTTCTGGGGCTCAGTCTCTCCCTCTCTCTCTTTCGGAGGGAGGCTGACTCATGCCAGCATTTTTTCTTTACAGATGGAGAAGTTTGCAAGGCTCCCCAAGCCTGAAGAAGGGCCTGCCCCGGCCATGCTGACTACCAGCCCTGACCAGAAGGAGGAAGGTAGCCACGAAAGCATGACCAGTGTCCTCATCTCCCCAGCTGAGCCGTCTGGTCGCCGCTCCCGGGCTAGCCGAGGTAGGAGGTGCCTCCTGCAGCGAAAGGCCCCTTCCTGACCTGAGCCCTCCTGCTCTGCTTGGGCTCCTGTGGGCCCAGCTGTGGGCCGGCTTTTGGTTGGCAGCGGCCGGCCAGGAAGTCTCTGGGCCTTAGCCATTGCCTGGCCTGAGAGCTCCGGCTGTGGAGCCCACGCGAGCAGCAACCCTCAAGTCCCCTCTTGGGAGGGTTCGGGCCCAGGAGGATCTTGGCGGTGGGGCTTTTATGATGCCTGTGCCCCGTTGGCTCCTGTATCTTCTCCTGTGGGAAGCCTGCCGATCCCCCTGTGTGTGGGCTCCTCCTCCATCTCTGAGAAGCAGCCGGGCACAGGGTGCTGAGACCCTGCTCAGCACCCTCTCCTGGGGCCCCAGAGCCCCTTCCCAGATTTCACGGAGGGCAGTCAGCCCCATCAGTCTCCCAGCCCCCTTGGCACACGGGCCTGAGTCGGGCCAAGCCTGGCCGAGGGGGACCTCCGGGTGGGGCTTGGGAGAGGCACAATGCCCGGAGAGAGGCCTGGGTGCCCGTTGGTGCCCGTTGGAGCCCATGCCCTTGAGCAAGAGGTGGTGTGAGACAGGTGGGCCTTCTGGGCCCCACCAGGCTATGGCGGCTGCACTAAGGCAGGAGAAGGCCCCCAGATGTTGCGGAAGAGAAGCCGGTCGACCCGTGGCAGGGGAGGAGAGGCCTTGGTGGCTAGGAGGTGCCCCCGCAAGGAGGGCCCTGGGGTCCCTTAGGATTGGGGCTAGTCCTCCGGCCACCCCTTGCGTGGGACAAACACCCCAGGAATAGACAGACCTCCTTCCCCTCCCCCCCCCGCACGAACCTCATGGGAGCAACTCTTAAGCTCCAGGGTGGGGCCCCACTCCAGTCCTCATGATCCTCTCCCTGTTCCAGGGGTTGTCAAACAGAGCCCCCCCAGCACACCCGCCAGCCCCCCAGACGATGCCTCTGGCTCTTCCGAGGACGCCTCCGAGGAGATCATGGACCGCCTGGTGAAGTCCGTCACGCAGAGCACCCCGCTGCGGCCGGGCGCCCTGAGGGAGCGGAAGCGCTCGCGGCTGAACCGGAAATCCCGTAAGTCTGGCTTCTGGACCTCAGAGAAAGCGAGAAAGGCAGGTCGCCACGGGAGCTCCGTGCCCACGAGCAGCCCTCTTTTGGCAACCGGAAGCGGGGCATCCGTCAGGCCCATTTCCCGAATGGGCAGGTCCTTCATTCTACCCAAAAGGAGCCCAGTTGCAGCATCCATGGTGCAGAATTTATTCTTCCTCTGCTGGCCAGCCGGAGGGACTGAGAGCCATGGGGGGTGGGGGCTGGGGGGTGGGGGCCCACCTATCTGCCTCCATGCCCAGGGGCTCTTTCACAACCTTGCCCCCCACCCCACCCAGCCCCTTGTGGCCGGCCCGGGCCTCTGTGCTGGATCTGGCGGGGGAGGGGGGAGGGCCCTCCCCCTTGCCATCCCCCTGCCCCTCCTGCTCCCCTTCCTCTCCCTGACCCCAAGGTGCTTTGCCTCCTTCCACAGTGAGACGGACCTTGAAGAACGGCCTCAGTGACGAACTGGTGCAGGCGCTGGGCCTGGCGCAGGCAGCCGGCATGGCGGTGTGACCAGGAGGGGGAAGAGCAGAGGAAGTGGTGGCCGTGGCACAAGTAGCGCTCATAGACGCACCAAGGCCCGTGTGAGAAGACGGGGCCTCCGGGATCCGTCCGTGCCCATCAGGGCCCTGCCAGGGGGTGCCAGAGCGGCCCTACTGTTCTGTGTGGTTTCTTTGGCTTCAAACAGCAAGCCCCACGGGGGTGGGGGGGTCAAGGTGGAGCCATCCCTTTCTCAGCCTGGCAGAGAGAAGGCTCCCCCCCCCGGCTACAAGCAGTATTACAGGTGTTTGTGTGTTTGTGTGTATGGGCTTTTCCTGCCCAGTGCCAGGTTTTGGTGCCAGGGCGGGGCTGGTGTTGGTCAAGAACGAGAGTGTTGGCGGCATGACCAAGCACCAGGTGACCCACAAAACCAGGTGGGTGCCCCCCCACCTTGCCTTTGGGTGCTTCTTCCGCTTCACACCACCAGCGACACACTCTCCACAGACAGGCCAGCTTGACTCCTGCCCTCTCCCTTCCTGGGCCATCCCCGGGTCGTTGGCTCAGCAGGAGGGTCTTTTCCACTTTTCCAAGAGGCGAATTCAGACGGGCTGATGCTCTTGTCTCACAGAGTCTCTCTTGCAGTGGCCAAACCAGCTTCCATTCCTTGCCGGAGAGGCGACAGGATGGAGGCGCCTGCCTGCCTGGGAGAGCCCGCTGGCTTCCTCCCTCCGTCCAGATGTTCAGCAAGTGGAAATGGGACAAGATTGCAAAGGCGGAGTCTCTTGCCCCCATCCCTGCCAGCCGACTCTGGCCGGGTCCAGTGGGGCAGAGTCTCAGCAGGGCTAAGAGGCTGGAACTGGCCCTTCTGGGTATGCAAGCAAGTCCGAGGTCATTGTTTGTGTTGAGAGTCGGATACGGGACGAGCGGGGTTCATTGGTCTCCTGTTTTCAAAGGGAGAGCCATGTCAGTCAGTCAATTTTGGACTGTAAAATGGAAAAGACACACAGATGAAAGCCATGGATGGATAATCCCTGAAAGCTCAGACGGAAGTGAATCTGTTAGTTTTTAAGTTGCCAGAATAGGTTGCGTTTTATTTCCCTGTGTTTTGTTACGGATCTATTTATTGGAGACATGTATATTTTTCCTGGATCTCACCTTTGCATTCTCACAGCTGCCTCGTGAGGTGGGGTCAGGGTGCTGAAGGACTGGGCTCACTGGCCTGAGGGGATTTGAACCCAGGTCTCCCTGCCCTCGTCCCGTACTCTGACCACCAAACCTCACTAATATTTGGGGGGGGGGCAGTGCTGGCTATAAAGCTTGATTGTAACTTTGATGTACCAACTGCGCATGTGTGTTTCCTCGCTCCTTGCAACTTATAAAACAACACCTAGAGAAGAAGCTTCCAAATGTAAACAAATAAAGGGAAACCTAGACCATAAAAGAGAGCAAAACGCACACACACACACAGAGAGAGTGCTAGAAAGCTGATGAACTCCCTCCCTCCCCCCCCCCGCAGAGCGACCTTTTTATTACTCTCTCACACATACATGGTAGAGCGAAGAGGTGGCACCTGTCTGGGTCTACTCTGGGGCACATCCCAGCGTGTTGAGGATTGCAGGAAAAGCCACCTGCATGGCCAACTCGGATGACCATGCATGCCTGGGG